ATGGATATTAACGGCTATAAAGTGCCCGTAGGCACCATTATATTCGTGTACATATACATGCTGCACAGGGATCCCAAAGTGTTCCCGAACCCCGAGCAGTTTAATCCGGACCGCTTTTTGCCCGAGAACTCTGTGGGTAGGCATCCCTTCGCGTTCGTGCCCTTCTCTGCCGGCCCTCGCAATTGCATTGGACAACGGTTTGCCATATCGGAGCTCAAAGTGGTGTTGGCTTTCCTTTTAAGGCACTTCCGATTTGAATCGCTCGAACATAGAGATAAGATAACCACTCAAATGGAAATGGTGTTCAGACCTAAGTGTCCGATTAAGGTTAGGGTCTATGAGCGTCGAAAACACTGAACAGTTCACTGATTTGGACACAAAAGTCATTCACTAAATGCTCTATAAATTAAAGTTAGTATTAAGTCATCTAATATGAGATAAAGACATTTCAACCGATAGTGAAATGAGTGGTATTTAGGCGTAAATGTGCCACACTTTTCGTATTTAATCCAAATCAAGGCATTTATATTTGAAATATTAAATTTCTTAAATGTTTTATTATAATAATTAATTATAATTTATAAACAATTATATTGTTAATAATTGAATGATTTCCATATTAAATTTAATATGTTTAAAATTCTATTCAATTATAATCTATATTTTATATAAAATGTATTTTCAATTGCTCAAATTAATATCACTCCAATAATTTTGATATAGATTTTATTATTTCAATTGTTTTGACATTAGAGTATAAGACAATTTTATTTAACTTTATATAAATCTTTTTCAGTAAATATATCTATTTTTATTTAACGTATACTTATCTTAAGTAGATTTCTACTTTTTACTTAAAACTATTTTACTTTTTTCCTATAAATTGGATTTTATTTGAATATTATTATATATATATTTTAAAAAAATGAATTATTATCTTTTTATTCGTGATATCTCTCTGTTATTTAATAGGAAAGTAAAAACTTTAAAACAATTATTATTATTATTATTATTTGATTTTGTATCAGGCTTTAAAAATGAATCTAAAATAAAAAATTGTATGAAAACGAAATATGTTATGTTTTATGAAAAATATAATATTTTATTAGTCTTTTAATGTTGGTAACCAAAGTAAAAAATAGTAAATATTGGACTACTATTAAGTATTAAATAATAATTATGTTCATTTCATAGATATTTTGTGATCACAATCCTAAATGAGATATTTCTGAAAAATCTTAACTAATGACAAATCAGTGACAATGAGGTGCGGTCTCCCTATACGAGATATTCAGTCGTTTATATTTGAGATTATGTCAGGAATTTAGTCCTCAAATATCTGAGGAATTATTTTGTAAATACAAATCACACACAAAAATACATTACATTTTGCACTTCTTTTCAATTTCACTACTAATCCTCTTTTTATTACATTTTATGTAGTTTTTTATATACAGTTGTGACAGAAGTAACATTTATTAAAAATGTGTTAAATTAAAAAATATTCTCTACTACAGAATTATATACTAGATATAATCGATAAAAATAAACAATGTTTATCTCAACATAATGGTAATTTATTTCTGGATAAAAATGCAACATTTTTGGTAAATGAAAGGTTTATTGATTTATAGAAAATAACGTTTTGATCAAACGATACAATTTCCATCTAATTATACAAAATATATTTTGTGAAAAACGTAAATGAATCTTTTTAAATATTTTATTAAATTTCTAACAAATGCTTAATATTATAAATGTCAATAAGACATTCTGTTTAAATATTTTATGTTTTATTGTTTTATTTGTTTAATTATATCAATGAAAGTAGTCCGCTATTTACCAAACGATATATAGCCACATATTTCACATACCTTTCCGTTTATTGATTTAATACTCTAATGAATATAACTCTCTATACTATAGCGTCACAAATAGTAAAACAAAAAGTACAGACAAAAGCATTTCCCTTATTATATGAGAGAACAACTTCTTTACTGTTATATAATATATAGGAAATTATTTTCATATAATATTTGCCTTTTTATACGCGAATCGATTTCCTATTCTCTTATTTAATATACGATCAAATCTTAGCTAAAATTGGCAAACATTTTGTTTGATAATGCAAAACAAGAATTCAATCAAATATATTACTCCTACTATTTGTTTGTGATTTATGCAAAACCCATAATTCATACCTATTAAACAGCATTTTGTTAACATTATATTCATGCTTTAGTTTAATAGCTGAACAACATTTTCAATTACATCTTATAGTAAAACACAAAACATATTATTCACAAAATTCTGTGTAAAGCCTTCATGTATAGTCAGAAAAAATAAAGCAATTTCTCTCATAACATGCATTAATACACAACTTTTACATTAAAAATATATACCAAAAAACGTTATTAATTATTCATTTATGACATATACTACTTTCTTATATCATTAAATTTTTTAATAAGTCAGACTTATTCAAATTTAATTAAAGTTTTAATGTAACTCTTACCAGAAACCAAAAATTCATTTAAAAGTATAAATTAAATGTTAATTATATCTACAGTATAGTAATTTTTATTTCGATATTATATTTTGTGTTTTAATTGTCAAAAAGGTTTTAATCAAAATTAATATTTCAACATTTATTATAAATAAATATTAAGTAAGTTTTATATTAAGTATTTATTAGAAATATTGAATTTTTTATAAGTTATATTCTTATGTGTTTAAAATTTACGGCAAAATAAAACTATTACTGATATAATAAATTGAATCGCGGTATCTTTGTAAAATTTTCGTAATTCACGCTTTATGCTTTATATATTAATAATAAAATTTATACCATATTAAATGTTATTAAAATTATAAAAACAAAAGTTAAACAATTTTTAATACTTTACATGTCAACATATACAATTTGTAAAATATCAATTTTAACTCAATAAATGAATACTCATCATTTAAATAAGAATTAAATCTATTACAGGTAAGTGTTATATCGTAAACAAGTTTGTGTATTAAAAGTTTGAAAGTCTTTATTTTATACAGGTATTGATTTTTATGTAATGCTTTTCTCGCGGCATCTGTTGATATCGTTTACAGAATACTCTTTTTAATGAATATTTGATACATTGGATGCATAACAATAATAATCAAATGTCTTGTAACTTACTTAAGAAAGTATTAAATTACAGATTATATTAGATTAGGCGTGAGTTAAACACACGAGTGTAGCAAAAAATCATGTACAGTATAGGTTAGGCATATAAACCCCAGAAAAAAGCGCATAATCCTACGGCTAGGACTGCAAATAAATTATTCACTGATTGCCAACCAGGCGTTTCTGTGGCATCTTTGGCACACTGGACGGCTTCCTCCTCCTTACTGAGTCTCACGACATCCCCCTCCCTGTCCACTGAATATGTCCTATTGTTTTCGTCCGACTCTGTATTTCCAGAGCCGATGCAGCAAATCGTATACAAGAATCGATTTTTGCTCTCATTATCACTAATCGATTCCACAATAACTTTATTATTTTGAGTGCCTTTTGCTCTCAGGTCTGATCCATCCTCGGCTACAAACGCTGTGTTTGTTTCACCCGTTTTGTGTATTTCTTGTACGGCTTCGTCGTCGTCGATATCTTCGCGCACTTTCTCGCTTTTTAGCGACCAATAAGTCAATCGATATAACTATTCATCAGTATTTGAAAAATGAAATTAGTTTTCAAAATACATTTCATGAATAAAACTCATGTTTACGTGTTTCTCATCAATGGGTTTAGTGAGTAAACTGATGACAATTGTCACGATCATTGAGATAATAAATAAAATGATACCGAAATGCAAATAATGCACTTTTGATAGTATTACGGGCCGGGGATCCGGAACATTAGAACCACACGGAGGGACAGTATATGAGAACTCCATAACAAATCTAATGATACCAATCATGAGGCCAATTATTAGCCCCCAAAAGGCCCCCTTTTCGTTGACTCGACCCCAGAATATGGCCAACACATAGACGGCACAGACAGGTGGGGACATGTATGAGGTGACACTTTGAATGTAGTTAAATAGTTGACTGTTTTGCGAGGACTCTATGATAGGAATCCATAGGATACTGACCACCACCAGGAACAGGACAAACACCCGGCCCGCTATCACCTGCTCTATCTCTG